CTCCCCCCTCCCCCCTTCCCCCTCCCCCCTCCCCCCTTCCCCCTCCCCCCCCCACCTGGTACAGCAGGGGCTCCATATCCAGATGTTCCTTGCCCGCTATGCGGTACAACAAGGACGCTATGGCGCGAGGCACCTCGGGGGGCAGGGAGCGGTAGCAGGCTAGCAGCTGTACGGCAAAGTAGATGACGGCGGGCTGGGCCAGCTTGCCGCGGATCTTGGAGGTCAGGTCCAGGGGCCTCTCCACCCCCCCCCCTCGCCCCCTACGACCACCACCGCCCCCCGCGTCGTCGTCCTCGTCCTCATCCTCATCATCGTCATCGTCTTCATCGCCGCCATCGCCCTGGTTTAATTACACCGAATGATAGGCAAACAGGCGGGTGTGGTTTCGGAGCAGGAGGTGGGGGATCGGCGGTCAGGGACAAGATAACGGTAGGGAATTGATGTGCGCGTGACTATTAAAATGGTAACTACGTCAGAATTGTAGATTATTAGGTGAACCGGTGCCGGAAGAAAACAATCGAAATGGTGGATGCCGGATGTGAGAGAGAGAGAAAGTGTGTCTGTGTGTCTGTGTGTGTGAGAGAGAGTGTGTATGTGTGCGTGTGTGTGTTTTCGTCTGGCCGCCTTCCCTGGTCGCGAGGCTCCCTCCTTAACCATCCCCCTCAACCCCCGGTGCCCTTCCACAGGTACGAGAAACCCCCGACCTACGTCGCTCTGATCTACCCTGATCCCCGCCCCCTCTTTCGCCCCCTGCATCCCGCCCCAACCCCCCCCCCCCCGAGCTCACAAGGCCAAAATACACACACACACACATCCAACCCCCGTGCCTCCCCGGGGCTCACCTCCTCCAGCTCGTCCAGGGGGGCCTTGCCACTGCCACCAGCCCTCTTCCCCCCCTCGCCCTCCTCGCCTCCTCCTTCACCCCCCTCTCCCCCCTCCCCCTCCCCGGCGTCCCCCTCCTTCTCCCCCTCCCCCTCCTCCTGCTCGAGCTGCTGCTTCTTCCTCTTGCCGACCCCACCGCGCCGCTTCTTGGCACGAACCAGAAACCCCCCCCGCTCCAAGGCAGTAGTCTGTCGTACATCCGCAGTACGTAATGTACGGACATGATGAGGTCACATGCGTAGCTTCTAGACTGGCGAGTGGGGGCGAATGACGTCATCAGGCGGGACAGCACGGGAAGCAGCCCGCTCTCCTGCGGCAATAAAAGAATATTGCGTTGTTAGAGAGGTGATGAGGAGGGCTGGGGGGAAGGGGCCAAGAGGTGAAAAGGGGGGCGGTGGACGGGTGTATGTGTGTACGTGTGTGTTTTATAAGCCGTGAACGGGGGAAGGGGCCATATATATGCGATGACCCAAGTTGCCCGCATCAGTCGTACTCCAGGGGGGCCAGGAGTAGGGGTGAGGGGTATGGGAATCTGACGCAGGTTGGGTCCAGGCATGAGGGGATTTCAAATACACACCGTGCGGATATCTCCCCTCTCTCCCCCGACACCCACACCACCCCGGGGCAGGCAGGCTTTGCACCCCCTGCTGC